CGGCCTTTCCGCGCGCGCACGCATCTACCCCGCGCCACGCAAGCCACCCGCACACTCCGCTTGCACACCTGCGTGCAGCGTACCCTTGCCCGTTTCTCGCGCGCTCCCCTCCAGTACGCGCACTTCTACCGTCGCTCGTGGTTGTCTTCTGTGCGCATGGTAGGCCCGACTTGCGGCGTTCTTGAGCTGCCTAGCCACTTCCGCATCATTCCCGTCCCCTTCAAGTGATTCCTTGTCCTCAAGGATAAAGTTCGGGAATTGATCACGTATCTCTTCAAGATCCTCCCACGTGGCTTCTTCTGTTGGCAGCTCTTCCCTGTCAACTAGCACCTCCCAACGATATCGTCCTGCCCTTTTTACCTTACGGTACTCAATTGCTCGCTTTGGGCGCACTATAGCTCGGCCGTCAGTTGCCGTTGCTGGTAGCTCCTCACAATACTTCTGCGCTTCTCCTAGGCTTCTTGTGAGCTGCGATACATGTATAACCGGGTGGATCTGCAAATTTTCGGGTAACTCCAAACGGTAACTACCTGACCAATGCGTTTCAAAATCTGATACGGCCCATAGTAACGAACGCCCAACTTAGTAGCTGCCCTTTGCGCAGTTGTGCGTTGTCTGAATGGTCGAAGCTTCAGATAGACGTACTCTCCTGGTACAAAGTTTTCCTCACGCCTCTTCCCGTCGGCGAAGGACTTGGTCCGATTAATCGAGCCTTCAAGATTTCTCTTTAGTTCTCGCAGCATCAAATCTCATTCCTCAAGCTCACGACCAACCTCATCGTTGACTGTGCTCCCCTACGAGTAATTGATCAGTGTTGGGGGTTTTCGCCCGTACACTAACTCGAACGGTGTCATCTTGGTCGACTCGTGGTAGGTGGTGTTGTACCAATACTCAGCCCACGGTAAGAAGTTTTCCCACCTCTTCGGAAATTGATGGACATAGCACCTTAGGTACTGCTCAAGTGTTCGGTTAGTTACCTTGGTTTGTCCGTCTGTCTGTGGATGGTAGGCTGAGCTCATAGACAATTTAGTCCCCTGGAACTTGAAGAATTCGGACCAAAAACTACTCATAAAAATCCGATCTCGATCAGAGACGATAGATCGAGGTGCCCCATGCAGTTTCATCACATACTCCACAAATAACCTGGCAATTGACTTTGCGGTGTAAGGATGGGTAATGGGTATGAAGTGAGCGTACTTCGTGAGACGATCCACCACAACCATAACACCGTCAAACCCATTAGAATTTGGTAGGCCCTCGATGAAATCCATGGTGATGTCTTCTCATATTGCCTCGGGTACCGGCAAGGGTTGTAACAGCCCACCTGGCCGTCGTGAGTCAGACTTAGTACGCTGACAATCGTCGCATCGTGCTATGTAGTCCCGAACGGTTTCTTGCTGCCCCGGCCAGAAGAAAGTGTTGGCTATCCTCATCCACGTGCGATAAATACCCGAGTGACCTCCAACCTTGGAGTCATGGAAGTGCTGCAAGATCTGCTCGCGCATCTGCCCACTGTCGGGGACATAGACTCGTCCTCGGTGTAGAAGTAGATCGTTATGCAGCTCGTAGTCGATAGCAGTTGACTTTCCTGCTTCTATTGATCGGCGCAGCTCCTGGCAATGGGTATCTTCTGCTTGCGCCTTTCGGATCTCTTCCCAAATGGCCCAAGTAGGCCCCGTGATCGCATTT